CAAAGAATGGGTGAAATGGAAGAAAAAGGCAAGAAATTCTTTCTTCCCCCCATAATTTTTCTTGAACCCTCACAACAGAGACTTTCCAATTTTCTCCTTTTTTTCTCTTTTTCTTCCTCTCAAGTGGAACTTCTCAAGCTTGCTCTTCTCTCTTTTCTTCTCTAAATGGCTAGCCCTCTCTCAAGTCTCACCAAGCCTATTCAACTTTCTCCTTTACTCTTGTAACTTAGTATTTATATGGCCACTCATTTAGACCAATCAAAACACATGCACTTTTATTCTTCTTATTTCATTTAGCCACCCTTTAAAACCAATCACAACACATGCACCAATTCACCTTTTATTTTTATTTGGCCATTTTGCCATCCAATGGTGCTTCATGCATCAATTTCATTTCTTCCACATTGATTAAAAATCCTCTTTTACTTATCCATATCTATTCTTTAATTTATTTCCACTTAATCTCACCTTATTATTGCCCAATGGTCTTTCATGCAACTTTCCCACCTTAATTTCCATTTGGCTTCCTCATTGGCCAATGACATTACATGCAACTATATTTTCTTTTCTTTTAGTCTAATTGCCACCAAGTGTCCATCATGCATAAATCCTCCATGCATTCTTTCAACTCTAAAAATCCATATGGTTGTGTCATTTAATTCATTTATCTCATATCTTTTTATTTGTCACATGGTGGGGGTCCCACATGTTTCCCATTACAAATACATTATTTCATGCATGTCTTTGCATGAAATAGTATTTGTTACATGCATATTCCATCCTCCCACACAATCTAATTTTACTTGGCTAGTTAGCTTCCATTTAACTTCAAATATTGTAATTGCACATAAGTCCTCAACTTGTCCTTATTTACCATTTGTCCCACCAAACTTTTCCTCCTTCAAAATTTGGTCTTTCAAACATTTCTTTAATTTCAAGTCCCTTCTATCTTTTATCTTTTACACGTGTACAAATAAAATAAAAAATTTACACATCACCAAGGCGTCACTGTAATATTTAAATATGTACTTAACCATTCTTACTTAATTAAATAAAGGCACGCAGGCCCCACTAACATAATTTTTCTTTGAAATTCTTTTATTCTTCTTCTTCCCCACTTAGATCAGTCATATAATCCTACCTTCATGACTAATTTCAATAAAAGATAAGATATTAATATTGTAATATTATTTTATTTCAAAATTCTCCACTTGTCTCCTCGGGTCTCAAAATATCTCCCTTTGTCCCCGTCCACTTCTACATCACCTTTTAACTAACTAATTCATTCCTTATAAAAATATTATTATTTAATTATTATTTTCTCATGTGTAAAATAATTTATTTTAAAATATTTCTTTCACCTTTTGCTGCTCTTTGGTACTTAATTTTACGTTAATTGATCCTTTGTCTTATTGATAAGGTCTCATTTGGCTTTTAAACAGGGATATGAGGTGTTTCATATTGATTTTAGAATATTAGTCTAGTGAGTGAAATTTTATTGATGTAAGTACTACTAATAGTACTAGTGAGTTTGGAAAGATTGGAGACATAGAAAATTAATTAAGATAATGAAGATATGTCGAGTAATGAAATGTGCATGTGGATTCACTATCACATGCAAATGATTGCATGCAAAAAAAAGAAACTTAGTGGGAAACATGTGGGACCCCCACCATGTGAAGTAAAAATAAGAATAAGAATAAATCATATTGTATGTAATGAGATTGGTGCATTAGGTGGCCAAATGGGAGAAGAAAAATGTGAGATGCATGTGACTTGAATGGATTAATGAATGACCAAATAAAATATATGAAGTGAAAGTTGTGTATGAAATATGATTGGAGGAATAAGGAGGTGCGTGGAATAAAGAATAAAAAAGAAAGAATGAGGGAGTGAAGGTGGGAGATGGAGAGATAAGTGAGGATGGATATTGGGTCGATGAGTGAGGGAGGAAATTGATGTATGAAAATTTAGTGGGGGAAAGAATTGGTCCAATGAGAAGTATGGAAAAAATAAAGAAAAGAAAGCTGAGGAAAGGCTTGGAAAAATGGCACTTGTTAGAGAAAACAAAGAAGAATCGGCCTTGAGAGCGAAAAGAGGGAAGAAAGGAGAAAGAAGAAAAAGGCTTGAAGGAGGCTCAGTTTTGGAGAAGATTGGTGAAAAACCAAAAGGTTTTCTCTTGCATGCCATTGTTGGAGCTTGAAAGAGAAAGTGGAGGTTTGGCTTGGTGATTCTAAGGCAAGAAAAGTGAAACTTATCATTTTGTTTGAATGCATGCCTTGTCAACCGATTGTAATGTGAAATTGTGCTTGTGGTAGTAAGAATCTTCAAGGATTCAAAGAACTGGGTGCATGCATGTAGGTGGATTTTAAAAGTATGATAATTTTGAACAAGACAAATGATGGGTAAGTGTTTTTAATCTTGAGACAACTCATGGAATGGAAAAATAAGATGTGCATTGATTATTTATGCTTATGGCAGCAATGGTGACCTAGGGTATGAGAGATTGTGAGCTATATGTGGAATTCAAGATAAAATCTAGAAAGTAAGCATGTAATGTGACTACATTATGTTATATTGGACTTGGTTGGTTGTAAGTTCATAGATTGCATGTTAGATTATTGTGAATAACAAGGATGAAAAATGTGAAAATAGGTTAAAGATTTATTGATTGAAGTGCTGCCCATATATGTGTACGACTAAGTATATTGAGTTTAATTTGTTGCTAGGAAGTATGTAAGTGAGGAAGGTTTGTCATGGTGGTGTACTGGAGGAGATAATGGGTGATTGGCAAGTAGAATTACCTAAAGATCCACCTAAATAGATAGCGACGTAGTATCCCACTATTGTGTGATGAGTAAAGGGTGTCTATTTCAAAACTTCCATAAGCTATATATTGACATACGTTTAATAAATGTTATAGATTTTCTTTAAATGCAATTGTTGATAGCATGAGTTGGTAGGATGCTAGGAACTTGTGAATGTCATGCTTTTAAAAATGTTTTATCTATATATGTATAAGCCATAAATGTAAAATGTTTTACAAACCAGGAAATAGATTTTTTATCACGATTTATCTCAAAACATGCCATACTTGTTTTTGTGATATGAATTCATGAATAAGCTTTATGTTCACCATGCTTTGATTTAATATTTAAACCTCATGCAAAGGTTTTATAACATGAAGTCTTACAAATGGATTTCTTACGTCACCATGATTGGTACTTTGGAAATAGATTTAAAATAAGCTTTTGAGAACCCAACTTGCTTATAAATGGTTTTGTCAAATCAGAAGATTCGAGAGTAGGTCGAATGTCGCATCAAGATAGTATGACCCTTGTGCATAAGTAAGCTCTAGCTAGAGAACCTTTGGGTCACTGACGGGCTATTAGACATGGCTAGGCCATAGTCTGTGATATATATGCAAGGTAAAGCCACTGGATGATATATGTGGCTAGGTATATGTGGTTGTGATCATATGATTTCTTCGATGTCAGTCAACATCGTCGAGATTACCATGGTAGTGGGAATCCGATGGAGGGGGCCTCTAGAATGTTATTACGTGAAAGCGGGTCCACGAGTTGATTACTACAATTACCTACTCGAAAGTGATATCTCTTTGGGTTTTCAAACATGACTTCTGTCGTATGGTGAGAAATATATGTTTTTCATAGCTCCTTTATTTAGATTATGATTTTATGTTCAATACCTCAAGGATGAGATGGTTTACAAGCTTGTGTATAAGCTTTGATAATACTTGATTTCATGGGAGCATGCATGCTTATGATAGTCTGATTTTAAGTAAAAGACATTAAATGATTCTGACAGTAGAAATCTTGCGCTTGCATTGGTTTTAATACATTACTTGAAAAGCTTATTTTGTATCACAATTCTTGAGATTATATGTAAGGCACAAATGTTCCATTCGAGTTTAAGTTGTTTATATATTCATTTGTTTTTAATATTCAAATTTTCTATACTTGGCTTTTTTCCCATCTACACCTTGTTCACGGAGCCAATGATCACTAAGTCTGTGAGACTCACCCCTTTATCTTCCCTTTTTTGCAGATAAATGATCAGCTCAAGTGTCTTGCCTCAACATATTTGGACTCATTGTGACGTAGGTAATGGCATCTCTTAGACTTCCACTCCGAGTTGCTCCGCCGCATAGTGTTTGTTGTTCAATTTTCTACTGACGCAAGTGTACGTCTCACAAAGCTAATATAGAGATGAGTAGAGTGTCGATCCCACAAAGAATTGAATTCATCCTTATTGTTAACAACTAAAATCAACACACCTTAATTTTATGTAAAAAATTAAAATTGAAAAGAAAGATTTGAAACTAATAAACTAATAACTAAAACTAAAACTAATCTAAAATCTGTGCGAATTTACTTTATTAAATGTGATTGACTACCAAACCTAAGATTATGATATCCCTCAATATTTCATCTGAATCTTGTGTTTCTTTCTTAACTTAGTTTAATGAATTAAGTTACTAACCTAGAGTCCTAAATTATTTACAGGTCTCTATCGAGTTTCTTACAAACATACCTCTCCCAATTAATTTACTATATGTCTATGCAAATTATATTGTAGAAAGATTCATTAGGTTTGTGCTCTAATTTTGGCTAAATATGGCTTATAGGTGTATGTCTACCCTATATGCAAATCAAATCACGTAATCAACTAACTGTATTCAATCATACGCTATTTTATTGAAGGTCTATCTAAATCTCCTCCGTCAAGGTTTAACCTAGGTTTCCAATTCAGTCTAATTGGTGATTAGGCAATTAGAAGCATTAAGAACAAAATAAAATAAACAACCTAAATCTATCAAACATAATCAAAAGAGAGATAAATAACTCAAACTACTTATTGAGTTTAATCATAATCTTAGATTAAAAATTTAGTTCCCTATCAAGTCACATATCATCATTGAATAAAGTTTAAACAATAAGAACAAAACCAAGAAAATAAGAGAAGAAAA